TGCTCCAGATCAAATGTAGCCAGCAACAGTGTTTTCCTCATGCCACAGATCAATATTGTGGTTCTACGAGCAACACTCTCATATCCCAGGCTTGGCATGCATTTCACTTGCTTTTCTTTCACCTCAAAGCACCAGTTGTCTCAAAGAGTGCGTGGCCCAGCAGGAAACAAGATTTCTGCTAAAGGTTTCCCTCTTCTCCACCTTTGAGTGTCTCAGCTTCTCTGTTGTGGGACGTGCACCTGAATGTAAAAGCGCAGGGCCTAGAGCGAGCGCCCCGGCACATGCAGCAATCACCAGGCCAGGACTTGAGGTTCTGGTGCAAACCTTGCTCCGACAACTTCTGGAGTGGGATCATTTCCTGAGCAACCTGCCTCCTAATGTGCAAAGGGAGATGGCAACGGGGGCTCCCTGCTGCAGTGGAGGTTTTAGGTAAAGCCTGTGCGGGTTTTACAGAGCTGTGAGTAAAGCCTCCTGTCGGTCATCTAGAAGAGTCACTTTGCCTTCAGGGAGCAAGACCTGCAAGGGGTGCACAGAGAACGGGCAGATTGAGCATCCCACTCACCAGCCTCCCACAGGAGGGTTGTGCAAGGCTGCCCCAGAGCAGCCGCAGAAGAGGCAGGGCACTTCCACAGTCCAACCGAGGCAGCAGTGAGGGCTGGCCGACAAGGTGTAGAAGCAAGGGGCATCTGGGGCTTACGGCGCTGGGCTGGCACCTCGGGAGATCTGGGGGTTCATAGCTCTGTCGTGGAGCGATCGCTGTGTGCTCACTGCCTTGAACTGCAGAAGTGCTGTGATGTTCACCTGCTATTCAGTTGCCTCCTGCCCCATATGCCTCCATCCCCTATCTGTAAAATGGGATAATACTACCCATGCACCTCACAGGGAAGATTAATTTAATCAGGGGAGGCAGCAAAGGGAGCTCAGATACATCAGTGATGTTAACGGATAGTGACTGTGGGTGGCTTCTTCTACTGGTGGGATCCTCTCATTAGCCAGAGGTTTCCAGTGTAGCACAAGGACCTCTATTTACTAGGCTGCTGTACTAAGATTGAATCCAAGAGATTGGAGGTTTATTCCCCAAATGAAATCCTAAATCCCCCTGACACCATAATCATCTCCACAACAACAGGTAAGAGATGTCATAAAAGATCATAACGCAGTGACAAAACAGAGAAGGGTATCGAGTCAGCCGGCAGCACGGGACATCTCTCACCTTAGGGGAAATCACTTCCTCTCTCTATGCTTCTGATGCTGGATTTCTGAACCACCAATCCCCCTTCCTCACTGCTGCGGGATGAGGTGATTGGTGAGGCTTGATTAATTAGTAGCCTGTTTGTGAAGCCCTTTAGCTATGCAAATAAAAGCCGCCATAGAAATACAAAGTTATTAGTATTATAAAACAGCAGGAGCAGATGAAATCAGTGTGGCCCTGTTTTCATGCCAGCGTTTGACTAGTCAGGATCCAGCAGAGAAAAATGCCAAAATTTTGATGCAGCAGCATTGCTCTTGCTAGATGAAACGCCTATCAGGGTAAGAAGCTCGTTAGACAAAATGGGGTCAGAAAAGCTCCAAGTACCCAGATGTGAGTTTACACAGAGACCCTGCCACCCATTAAAGTTGTCAGGATGCTTTCCATTGGCTTTAGCAGGCTTTGGCTTAGGGCTGGCGTGGAAATAGGAGCAAACAGCTTTACTACAAACAGTCTGCAGCTGACATTGGGAGCAATGTGAAACACCTGCCATTGATCCCCTCCCTACCTTGCTACTGAGCCAGGCCCTTGCTATGGCCAGGGACACACCTGGAAAGATTTGTATCCCATGGAACAAGATGCCAACAGGTGCACGGAGATGGGGACCAGACGGAGCAGAGTGAGAACATCCCTTCCTCGGTGAAGCATGGGCCCACTGCCCAAAGGCTGAGCGGAGGCCAAACTCTCCCTCTCCCTGTGAGGGGATGTCCTTCCAAAACCGGGCTGAGGTGAGCTGGCAGCAAATGGCTTGTGTGCAACGTTTGCAGGGGTTCTTGCTCGGATGTATCTATTCTGAGGACAAATAAAGGACTCCAGAGCAGAGGGGTTAATACCTTCCCCCAGCACCAACATGCATGAGGGGAAGTACTTTCCAGGAGAAAGTGAAAAGCAGCAAAGGCAGGAGAGTGGCAGGAGCAGACACAGGCCTCCTATGGAAATGGCAACCACAAAGCCCAGAACCTCCTTGGATAGTCTCCCGGGGCAATAAGAAGACTATCATGCCTCCTGGATTCTCCCAGGGCAATAAGAAGACTATCATGCCCCCTGGATCAGTGTGCATCTTCTTGCTACTCCCATTCAAAAGCCTTTTGGATAAAGCTGGAGATCCCCAAGTTTTTACCCCTGCAGTTACCAGCATGCATCAGGGTCCCAACCCTTTTTCCCCCTCACCAGCAGCAGCAACAGTTCCAAATACAGCTGAACAAGGACTCCAGGCTACACAGGGGAGGGGAAAAGCAGAGGCAGCTGCAGGTGTCAGCTACTCAGTGTGGAAGATTTGACAGGCCTGGGAGAAAGGGACCTGCCTTGGAGGCTTGGAGAAGGCTTTCTTGTTTCTTCCACGGTCTCCTTCAGGCTTGGGCTTCTCTTGCAGGGGAGCGTGGGGGCAGCGGACCTGGAATCAAAACAGAACTGGATCCTGCCGGCAGGCAAAGCATCTATAGGTCCACAGAGATGCTCCAGACTGACAGTGCCCTCGCTGTCTAAGGAGAGCGCCGAACAATGCTGCTGAACACCACTCGTCATCACCCCGCTCGGCAGCCTTGACTGTGCCACCGGACAGGGGAAGCGAGCAAACAAAGGCTCCGAGAAAGAAAGGGAGAGAGATGAAAAGACTCGGGGAGATGAGAGATAGCGAGCAAGGCTGAGAGATACAAAGGGACAGAACGAGGGAACGAGAGAGAACAGCTGTGCCCTGCCTGTCGGACAGGAGGCAGTCTCCTGAGAGGCTGAGATTGCGCAGAGTGAAAGTGCGGAGAGAGAGATCTTAAGAGTGAGCAGTTGCTTCCCGGAGGCGATGAAACGGAGAGAAGGAGCAGAGGGACCCTTCACTGGCTCTTCCTTGAACTACCCTATGACATTTTCTGATTTGTTGAGTTGGGGGCCAGGGAGGAGAGACAGAGAGAGAGTCTCGCCCGCTCTCTACAAACACCGATGCCTCAATCAGAAGGAGCTGCCTTCTGTTGTCGAAGAGCACAATGCTGCCAGCTAGGGAGGCAGCAGGTAGAGGCCAGAGGAGAAGGGGGGTCGGATACCGGTAGCTCATCAGTAACCAAAGTGGAGGATGTCCCTGTACCATGGGGCGATGTCTAGTATGCAAGAGCGGTCTCCATTATTGTGCCAAGATGTAAATTGCTCCCTAGCTGCCTCGTCTTGGCAGCAGGGTGAGTGGGCAAGGGGTGCGCATGTGTGTGTGTGCATGCATGGGGGGTATGACAATATGGGCAACCACCAGCCAGCCTCTTGGGAGCAGAGGACATAGACGGCAGCACTGCCCTCGTGCACCTTTGCGTTGACACTGCCCCTTTCCGACAGGAGGTCGGATGTGCTGACGCTGCTGCGATTGCTGTGCTCCCTGCAATCCAACAGGTTGTCGGTGGTTGCTGCCTTTCCTATCTGCCGGTTCCTGGGCCCGCTTGCTCTTCTGTTTGCCGTCCTTCTATCTGCAGGAACGAGGGGCCAACCTCTCTACCCAGGCACCATTATACAGACGCTGCTCCCCACTGACAATCTTACCACATCTTACAGAACCAGAGCACCCGCTCTGCTCGGTGGCAAACGTGAATGAAGCATTCAGCTGTCATTAGTGCAATTGCTAGGTTGGCCTTTTTGGGGGGGAAAAAACTAGGCTGTTTCTTAGAGACGCCAGAAAATGAACTGCAAGAAACGGGCTGGATGGATCTCTGCTCCAAAGGCCGCAGCGATCTCAAATCCTTAATATTTCTATAGTGCGTGAAGGATTGTCTTGTAGCCCAAGTGGGTGGGGACCTGTTTTTGGAGCAAAATGTCCTCCTGAGGACCTCCACTAATGACCGTAGATCTGGTAAAGGGAACAGCTGGCAGCTATATCGTGTGTGACAGGGATGATATCTGAGTCTGGGAGGATGGGAGAAGAAAGGAAGTAAGAGAGCGGGTATTAGAAGAAAAGGAGGAGAAGGCATATTCAGGTTTTCAGTTCTCTGGCTCTCTCAGAGGATGATGAGGGACGGGAGGAGGAAGGTAACGCTGGAGAGAAGCAAAGACCTTCCTTGGCCTAGGCCGGGTTATCTGTGCACCAGACCCCTGAAAGCCACAAGAGACAGCCCCAGCAGCTGGTCCCGCACATTACTATTTAATCCTAATCTATTCCACCCTCTGCTGCCAAAGCCCCCTAGAGAATTGCTGCTGCTTTTGTAGAAACCCTGCTGTTCCCTTCAGAAGGAAAGGAGACAGCAGTAGCGAGGGCTTGGCAAGAGCCTTTCACATAAAGTTTCTGCTTCAAGTGAAACTTTTCAATGTTCACCAAATGTTTTTTAGCTTAAAGCAGCATTCCTCAAAGGGATGATGAATGAATGAATAAAAAACATCCCTCAGTCTCACTGCATGGCATCCCACGCTAAGCAAAGGAAGATTTTCATTTGCAAGTAATTCATACCCTGCTACCCACAGCTCCCGATTCTCGCAGTGCCAGACAGAAAAGGAACCGGAGTCTCACATGTAGCAAGTTCTGCCTCAAAGCTAGAGCCCGTGATGTACGAGCAGTATCTAAATGTGGCAAAGTGGATCTAAATATAGGTAGGTATATTTTAGGGCCAGGTTTTCCAAAGGGTACGTGCCTAGCTGTGTGCGCAGCCTCTGACGGAGGCTGGCACGCACACCTCGGCATGTGCAAAGCACAGGCTGTGTTTGCTGGAATTTGTGCGCACCTTTCCAAAATCTGGTCCAGGGTAAATGATAGAAGTAAGCTTCGCTGGCAAATGCTTTGGGACGGCCAGTAGGGAGCGAGGAGCACATGGCTAGGACTTTTGAGTCTCCAGTCGGCGCCTCTGGGGAATTCGTCTCAGACACCGCCGAGCAAACAGGAGGAACTCGTGGGGCTTAAGCAGCGTCCCCGAGGACACAGAGACAACAGCCGCCTCTATCTCCGCATCTCACATGGGGAATTTGGTTGCCCTGGAGAGGGAAAGACAAGTCATTAGTCAGAGATGACACAGCACAAAAATCAGCAAGCTTCCTCCCATGGCCCCTTGCTAGGAGGGAGAAAACAGGTGAGTCTCTCAGCATGACCTTGACCTCTCAGCTGGGCCTGCAACTTGAGATGGCAGCAGCAGTTACGGACACTTGCCCCAGTGGAGGCAGCGGTTGTGCTCCACCCGGACGGCGGCTGCCCAGGAACCTGGCAGGGCCGCTTTGGGTCCTTCTGGTGTGCATCAAATCAAGCCAGGGAGGATGACTCTGAACTTTGTGTCTCTTTGGCAAACCCCCTCTCACCTACTTAACACAGGGGAGTCACCTATGGGTAGTTCGAATGCACCTGTTGCACAATAAATCAGGGGCCGCTGGCTTTCTCAAACAGCTGGGCTAGGGACAGAAGTGACACGCAAACCAGTTTAAGTGATTAGAAACTGGTTTAAACCTGTAACAGAACAGAAGTTCAGTGCACATAAACCAGTTTCAAAATGGCCAAAACGAGTTGAAGATAAACCTGGTTGAATGTAGTATCAGACTTAACTCATTTAGGTCAAACCGGTTTATGGAATTTCTGTCCCAGACCCCTTCCTGGTTCAAGTAAAATCACAGACCCCCAGCATCCCAGCATGCTTTGCCAGCCTGGGCTGAGCTGGGCTGTCTGCTGGAGCAGAGCAGGGTTGGCCCCGCTCCTCTGCTCTCTAGCTGGAGCAGTGACGGCTGGCTGACGAGGGGGTGAGCGTGCGGGGGACGCAGCCCGGTCTGCCTGGTGGGGGCAGAGCAGCCCTTGCCAGACTTTTCCCCACTGGAGTGGAGGGCTCACGCAGAGGGGAATTAAATCCCCCTGCTTCCCCTCTCCCACTGGCAGGGACCCCAGATGAGGTCTGCCCGGCTTTTCTCCCCTGCTTGTAGCTCAGCAAGGCCCGGGACCCCCAGAAGCCCCTCCCAGCTAGGGGGAGATCCCACTACACCTTCCCAGCTGCCAGAGCCGGGGTTTTGCTTGGGGCAGCCCAGGTGCAAAGGCCAGATCGGAGGAAGAGAGGGGAGCAAAATGGCCCTAAGCCTAGGTGAGGACACGCACAGAGGGCATGTCTCCATCCTGGACATGAGTCCCACCAAGCAGAGGGACCCAGGCAGGGGGTGGGGAAAGGGCTCAAGTGTGTCTGCACTAGCCCATGGCAGAGCTGAGTCAGGCCGAGCATGCAGCTAGAGGAGCAACTCCTGCCCAGAGGCCCCTTCCACCCACTGGAGAGTGGTGTCCAGGCCAGCCCCGGCCCCTGTACTGGCAGGCATGGTACGGGCGTGCCCCCTCAGCCCTGAACACTATTACTGCGCCCCCCGGGCTGCTGGGCACTGTGGTGGGTGCGCTCTGTTTGCTGTTCTCCTACCCAGCAGCGGTGCAGCACGGCCCCATGCACCAGGTGCCAGGCATGGGGCTCTACCCCTATGAGTTCCCTGCCGCCACCGCTGTCAGGGGGGCTCACCCTGGCCATACTGGTAGGCACCACCCATGCTGCCAAACAGGGGGAAGCCATAGGGGTAGTGCCCCACACCTGCAACTGGTGCACGGGGCCATGCTGCGCCACCAACACTGGATAGGAAAGGGGCAGGCAATTATTTTGGGCAGAGGGCCGCTTACTGAGTTTTGGCAAGCCATCAAGGGCTGAATGACAGACAGCACAGGGCAGATTAATATTAATTTTCTAAATTTTGTAGGGGTCTTGCGGGCCGGATAGAATGGCTTGGTGGGCCGCATCCAGCCCGTGGGCAGCATTTTGCCCACCTCTGCGATCGGGGAACAGTGAGCAGGATGTGCCCAGCTCAGTGTCCAGTCGCCCAGGAGACACAGGTAATAGCACTCGGGGCTGAGGAGGTAAGCCCATGCTGTGTGCACCGCTGCGGGGGCCAGGACCAGCCCAGGTGCCACTCTTTACTGGGTTGAAGGGGCCACCGGGAAGGAGCTGCTTCCCTAGCTGCATGCTCAGCTCAACTCTGCCCTAGGTTAGTGTGGACACACTCAAGCCCCTTCCCCAGCCCTAGCCTGGGTCCCTCTGCTTGGCAGGGCTGACATTCAGGATGGAGCCGCCACAGCTGCCGCAATCCCTCTGTGTATGTCCCCACCTGGGCTTGGGGCCATTTTGCTCCTCTTCCTCCCCCTGATCTGGACTTTGCTCCCAGGCTGCCCCAAGTGAAACCCCAGCCTCTGCAGCTGGGAAGGTGAAGTGGGATCTCCCCCTGGCTGGGAGCAGGGGCTCTGGGGGTCTCAGGCTGTGCTGAGCCTCAAGCAGGGGGGAAAAGCTGGGTAGACCCCAGCTGGGGACCCTACGTGCCAGGGTGGGGGTTCAGACCCCTCCCCAGTCCTACTCAGCCTGCCAGGGCCTGACCCACACCCCCAGCTCAGCTTCCCTGCAGCCTGAAGGGAAGGGAGGGCTCACTCTAGTGCCACCCAGCTTCTAGTCTGGGCCACTGCAGGCACGTGCCTGCATTTCCGGAATCAAAAGTGAATGTCTGTTCACTTGCGTGTTGGTTCAATTTACACAGGTTAAACTAACTTGCAAGATTGAATCAATTCAGGCTCGGGCTTTTTGAATGTCTGTACTTAGCCCTGGAGACTTTTTGGCTTCTGTAAAGGACAGACTAGCAGCACAGCTGAGAGCACAGCTCTGGCAGGCCATTTGCTGCAGTCCCAGCTATAAGAACTATCTTTTATTGGTTCAGACCATAGGTTCCTCTTGTCCAGTCTCCTGTGTCACACAGAGGCAGCGAGTAGATGCTGAAAGGGAGAGGAAACTGGGTGCAACCAGGGCTTTTTCCACTGCTCCTTTGCCCCTCACTCCCATGCTCAATAGCAACCAATGCCCCTTTTCTCCAGGAATGTGTCTAGTCCCTTCTTGAATCCCTTCTGGCTAAACTGTCAGGTTTCACCACATCCGGTGGCCACAAGTTCCAAACTTTAACTACCCCCTGTGTGAGAAAGAATTTCCTTTTGTTAGTTTTAAAAGTACAACCTACTAGCTTCATTTTGTGACTGCTAGTTCTTGCATTGTGGGAGATAGTAAATTCCTATTTCCTTTTCTGGATTGGGCCTCCCCCAGATAGCCTGGCAGTTCTGGGACTAAAGACAGGGCATGCCAGGAAAGGAACTTGCCTCTGAAATGTAGATCCCAGCTCTGGGGCCATCCACTGCATCTTGCCATCCCTGTCTTCATTCCCTATGATTAGAAATACTCAGGAGGTTAAAGATAGGGAGGGCTAGGGCTTAGCAGGTTTCCTCAGAGCAGACCTACCAATGCACCAGACTCTTAACCTGAGGCAGCTCTGCGGTTTGTAGCTGGAGGCTTCACACGGCTCTGCCACAGCACCCTGCACTAGCTAGCACAGTCACTCTGATGGCCCCCATCATCATAGCAATGGATTCAGCCTCGCAACTCCCCTCATCAGTACTGAAGTGCAGGCATCCCCATTATCACATTATCTTGCATACAACACACTTCTTTTCCCCAAAAAACTGGATGCTGAACATTGGGGTGCACATTGTATGTGAGAAATAAGGTAAGAGCAGGTTCTGCTGCCTACCGGCTGAAACCAAAAGTATAATCTGCATGGATTCAAAGGGGGCAGACCAGTGAGCAGGTTTGGCTCCCTAGTTGTTGCTACTCACTCACTCACTACAAAGAAAAATCTTTTTTTTTGTGCTCATTTTACCTTTCAAGAACAAGGTGCATATTATATTTTGGGCCGTGTTGTATGTGAGAAAATAAGGTATTCAAATGGAGATGCAGAGCAGCCAGGATGTGTGTAGCAGAGTCAGGATCACAGGACCTTCCTTCGTCTCACAACCAGCTCTGGCTGCAGAAGCCTCTGACCTGCTAGTCTATCTCAGAGTCGTCCGACAGCCGCCCCTCCTGTGCGCCTGCCTCTCACTCCACACCAAGTGGGTAGATGTAACCAGAGCCTGCTAATTGATGCCAGCTACTTTCCATGAGGCTTGCAAACTCATCTCAGGGATGACCTTGGTGCTGCACAAATGAGAAGTCTGCATGCCGCGGTGGTAGCTGCAGCCTGGCTACAGTGCATGGCAGCCTAGCCATAAATCACTGCTCTGGAAGGAGCAGCAAGTTCAAGCCGGAGAAGGAGCAGAGGGCTATGGACGTCTGGCCCACACAGACAAGGCCAGGGCAGGGGAAATACAGGCTCTGGCACAGAGCCTGTGTTCATTCCTGGGCTGGACCCATAAGCAGGCAGATCAGGGTGGGGGCTGGAAAGCAGCAGGCCTTGCACTGGGCTATTTTTAGCAGAGCCGGCAGAGCAGGAGTCTGGAAACCAGAGTCAGAATTTATTTACATTTCTGAGTGCTCATCAGAGTAAGCAATGACAACACGGGGAAACAATCCCGTCTTCTCCTCACGCCTCTGCGGGAGCCCATGCAGCCTCTCTGAGCTCAGCATCACACTGCTGGTGCCCAGGGACCAGCCACAGAGGCAGCCCCATGCACAGGTGGGAGACAGGCAAAGGGGGGCATTAGGATGGAGGCACATGTAGGTCTCATGTGGCTAATTATGGTCCATATGCTCCTCTCTCCTGAATGGCACTGCCAACCCGCTGCTTTGTGTGTGCATCTAAACATGCACTTTCAGTCAAGACAGACATGCCTTTTACCCACAGTTACACTGATGTGTGCATGGAGCAGATTCAGCATAGGATGGGCAGCAGGAGGCAGTGTAACATAAGAGAGGCACAACCCTAGCCCCACGCACAGGCACTGACAACAGGGGCAGGCGTGCTGCTGGGTGAGGGTGGCAGCTGTTTTAGTGCAGAGCCATATTCGATAGGTGGGGGGGTGTAGCGGTCACTCCACGGGGTCCCATCAGCTCCTTCTTAAGTTACCCAAGTCCTACGTGTATGCAGAACAAGAGACCTCATCGCGATCTTGTATATTTGATGCTTGGTCTCTCTCAGTAGCAGTTTGGATCTAAACGTTTCTCTGTAAAGAAAAGTAACAGGTAGTCCTCCTCTGTATACGTGCTTTAATTTCCGCCCTATCAAATTGTTCAAATCACTAAAACTGTACTAATGCAATAAAATAGTCATTAATGCTCCTTGGTATTTCAATTGCTTAACTTGTTGATGTCTATGGTTGCCATCTGCTAAGTAAGCTTGCCCAAGATTTTCTCGTTGGCTTATGACTATGTCTTTTGTTTTACCTTCATTTATATTCCTCTTTTTCATATCATTTCTTTCATGTCTCCAGCCATTCTTTGTATCGTGTCTATTGTCTCTCCTACAAAAGCCAAATCATCAGCATATCCAAAAAGCTGGTGCAGGCCATTTAAATTCAACTCACCCTGAAAAGTTTGCTATGATTGTATTATTTTTTCCAGAGCCACACTGATGGACCCGAGCACCTCCCTGCCTGCGTTCCATATTGGTAGGAAATGAGGCAGATATTTCACTGCCAGTTCATACTCTACTGTTTCAAATGCAAACACACAATTGTACCATCCTCATAATTTTATCAGGGATTCCAAATTCTTTCATTGCAGCCCAGAGGCCATCTAGCAATATACCTTCACCATTTTTCTTAAAATCTGTAAGAGCTGTGTATGCTGATCCTATTGCCATCTTATCTTGGGCAGTCAATGAACTGAAAATACACGATCCGCCGTGGATCAGGTTTTCCAGAACCCCAGCTGAGAACTCCCCATCAATTCCCTCTTGTTTAAGGAGCAAGTCTATAGAAGTATCAAAGTGGTGTCCTAAGACTTTAATGAGCAAGAAGATATCACAATAACTCTTATGGCCCATTTTGTCTTCCTCTTTTCAAAACCAGGCATGTCTTTTATTTCCTCTGAATCTTTTTTTTTTCCAAATCTCCAGAGGAACAACATTTGCTTATAACGTCTTTGAGATGGTTTCTCCCCTCCTGTTTAATAATTCAGCAGACACATTATCAACACCTGGTGCTTTCTTCTTCCCGAGCGCTTTGATTGCCTCTTGAATCTCTTCAAAATTTGGTTCTTCCACAAACAGCTCAGCTGCCTGGAAAATGGCCATTTGTCACTCACCTTTACCCATCTCACTATTAAGGAGCTCAGCGCCTCTATCCTTCTCTAATTGCTTTCTCTGTAACTATGAGATTTCCATTTGGGCCCTTGTTCAGCCTTGCTTGTGATTCATCTCCTTTCCTTTCTACTTTGTACATTATTAATATTTCTCTCCTGCTCCTCCTTCTCCGCAAAGGTGCACAGTTATTGTTTCTTCTTTATATTTGGTGTACTTTTTCTGCCCCTTTATATTCCTGTGGTCATCTTTACCGTACCTCTGAAGGTTGTCCACTTGGGATCAGCATCCTCCATAACCTTCGTGGAGCCTTCCAGAGCCTCATACCTGTTCTTTGGGAGCTCTTAAAGATTTGGTGTCACATCTGCTAGCTCCAGCTCTTTATCATGACAAGACCCCCTCCCCTGCCCTCCCTCTTCACAATATCATGGTCTGAGTCCCAGTTGTCTCCTCTTAGGCTTCTGGTAGCCTGGAGGTTGCTCGTGTGTCAGGAATGATAAATACAGGGTCAGGCCGAATGATGGGAAATCCACCTTTGCCTACCAGGTATGGTTATGTATGTTATCATAAGGAAAGAACATTTGTTCACAGCCACGTCTTTAGAGGTGGCAAAATAACTCACCCTGTTCCTCTGTCACTGGTTATATCATGAAGTTTCTCAATCCTTGGAGTTGGGACTTGAAAATGGAGTACCTCCCTTCTCATAAATTTATATGAGATTCTTCTACTGCTCCCAGCTAACACAAGCCTCCTAAGCTGCTGCATAGACACTGGTCAGCCCCTAAGCAGCTTCATGTCTCCTGAAAGGCCATCCTCCACTTTTAAATGCAGGTGCCAAAGACAGGGACTAAGAGACTGGAGGTGGGAAGCCACAGTTCTGTGCTGGGAACAGGGAGGATATGCCCAGTGCCAGACAGGAGGAAATGTCCAGATCCCAATTAAACAGATGTAATTCTCTGTCAGAGATGAGTCCAGGCTGTGGCATTTGGATATGAACTCCACTGAGCGAGATCCTCGCCCGGACTCCCTCCACGCTTTGGGGCGTCCTGAGCCAGGGGCTCTAGTCTGAGCCCCTCACTACTCCATGCAACTGGACAACTCCCAGTACACAGGGCAGTTCTTCCATTAGAGCCATGAAAAAACAAATCGCTTCGGTTTGACTGGGGCGGTGGAGGACACCGATCCCCAGGCAGGCTTGGAGGTTTTCATACAGGGATCTGCAAAATGCTTCGGCCTGGGAGCATTTAGCTCCAGTGGTCTTGGCCTCAGCAGCAAAGCCACCAACCTATCTGGCATGGCACTGTGTGGTGGCAAAGGGTAGTGAAGCAGGCACAGGAGAATGAACAGTTACCATCACGGTGGCTCATGCGCTGCCCTTTTGCAAATCAAAACAGCACGAGGTACAGTAGTGAGACACCTGTGCGAAGATACGGCTTACCTAGGGAACTAATTTAGCTGAAAGGAAATAGAAGGGTCATAAGAGGTTTCCTCGTTAAAAAGAAAAATATATAGACAAGAGCAAAAGGAAGCCTCAGGTCAAAGTGCCCATGGGGAAGAGCTGTAGCAGGGTTGACTTTAAGCAGTAAAGGCACAGATTGAGAGAGCACCAGAACTAGCGCTGTTTCAGCCTACGATTGCAGGTCAAAGGCTTGGACAGAGATTGGAGAGAGATGAAATCAAGCTGTGCGGCTGAACTGTAAACAGCACTGCAGTTAATCTGGGTAGGATTTGTAGAATCAGCTAAGGTAATTGGAAGGGTGATTTCAAATGAATATTCAGGAAAACGTTTGCAGGGAAAATAATACTATTTAGCACTTCTAATGGGCTTTACATCTTCAAAACCTGGCCAGCCATTAACTGATTGCTCCACAGCTAGGTCCAAAGGCTAATAAAAGGGATGCTTCATTTAGTTATTTCATAGCTGAGCGTCTCAATAAAGCATAAGGAAGAGCCGGCTGCTCGCTAATAGGTTTGGTAAATAAACACAAGGAAGACAAGAAAAAGAAGCCCTGATACATTTAATCATGCCCTCCATTACAGCATCTTCCTGCCACTGCCCAGTAGCTGTCCTACCTCAATCAGTCATGTGGAAGCCTATTGAGGATGCGAGTTCCTTATTTCCTCTGACAGCTCCACCTAGATTTCACACGCTCCCAAAATTGAGGGTGCCCAGGTCAGGGACCCATCTACAGTCCGCGTTACCACGTGACAGGGGAGCCCGATGTAGGAGTGCCTGATGCACATTACCCACGGTACAGGACAGCGGGTATAGATGGGTATAGCGAGACCTCAGCTCGCTCAGAGTGAGCCAGTTTGAGTGCCGGAAGAAGTATAGTGCATTAGCACAGCTCTCCACCTGGGCTGGTGCAGCCAGTGCAACTGCACTAATTCGTACCCGGTGCAGCCCTATTGCATTTCAAAACCGCACAAAGGTGAAAGAGTGCAGAGCAGGACAGATTACCTCTGAGAAAGCATTGCACCGTGTCAGGGCACTGCTCGGTCGGGGTGCTAGGTCACACATCCATAAGGAAAGGCCAGGTTCGGGAGCCCCGCAAAACGCTGGGAGCTGCGCAGAGCAGCTGGCTGGGGTTCGGGGCAGCCCAGTGAATACAGGTCCCAGTGTACTCACATCTCCATGGATGGATGGAACAAGTGATTCAGCCTCTGGTGATATAGACTGATTAAGCAGCTTTATTTCCTCCCCATCCTGGCAAACGCTGAAGCTGGAGATAGCAGGCAGCTTTTCAAACCGCAATAAAAACGGAGGTATTTTGTGTTTGTTTTATTTAAAAAGTAAACAGCTCTTTGTGTTTGATGAGCAAGCAATTTCATAAACACTGCGGAGAAAATAGACTACAAAGTTTCACCTCAGTAATTTCTAGCCTCTTTTCACAGCAGCAGCAGGAGAGGAACAAATGCAAGCCTGAAGGGGTGCGGGGGTGCCAGTTCCTAGATCATCTGCCTTTATCTCGGGCTCTGGGAGGAGCAGCGGGCAATGCACAGAAGCCAACATGCTGGTCCCGATGGTGACCAAAAGGTGCCAGTTGCACCAAACCATTTAAACCTGAATGAATGGAAGAATAAAGCACTTGAAAGACTGTTAAAATGAAATGAGCCACTCATATCTTATTGTCTATGACAAAACACACCTCCATATTAATCCTTCCGTCATATGCTCCAAGATGCCAGCAATTCCTTCCAACTATTGTGCACAGCTGTACTTTCTAGCCCATATTCTCCCCTTAGGTTGACAGCCAAGAAGCTAAATTACCACCCACGTGTCTCTATTCCCTGGGCATCTCTACCCACAGCCACCCCCTGTCCATTATAGAAGAGCTAACTCCATTGTGTTGCCTCTCTTCAGTCTACTAGAAATAGCTGAACACCAGGAACAAATTTGTGTACTTCTTCATCCAAAGTCCTCATTTCTGGGAACCACTGCTTTCCGACATGGTTGCTACTGTTCCTTTTCTTTTGAGGGCCATATTCTGTATTTGCAATGTGCCTTTTAAAGCACTGCCCACCCATCTGGGTGGCGCTCGGGGGAGGTCACTGAAGACTGGAAGAGGGCACGATGTTTCCTGAAATGGTCGCGGGTATTTTTGCTATAGCATATATTTTTAATGTTAATTAAATATACAATTTGGATCTTTTAAATTAAAATCACAGCAATGTGGGATTAACCAGGTTCATAGATTGTAAGGGGCCGGAAGGGACCTCGGAAGATCATCGGGTCCAGCCCCTGCACCAAGCAGAAAAGACAACTGGGGTCAGTGACCACAGCGAGGGGACCGTCCAGTCTCCTCTTGAAGATTTCCAGGGTAGGTGATTGCACTACTTCTGGAGGGAGTTTATTCCACCGTCTGGACACCCTGACCGTGAAGAAGTTTTTCCTAATATTAAGCCTGAACCAGTCTTCCAGGAGTTTGTAGCCATTACTCTTGGTTTTCCCCAAGGGTGCCTTGGTGTACAGTGGTTTGCCTAGCCCTTGATGTATTCCCCTGATATAGCAGTAAGCTACTACCAAGTCTCCTCTCAGTCTTCTCTTTCTCAGGCTGAAGAGACCCAAGTCCCTCAGCCTTTCCTCGTATGGCTTGCTTTGCAAGTCTCTGATCAGATGGGTGGCTCTTCTCTGCACTCTCTCAAGCTTTACCACATCCTTGTTGAAGTGCGGTGCCCAGAACTGGACGCAGTCCTCCAGCTGCGGTCTCACCAACGCTGAGTAAAGCAGAAGAATCACTTCGTTGGTCTTGCTTGAGATGCACTGGTTGATGCATGCCAGAGTATTGTTTGCCCTGCTGGCTACAGCATCGCACTGCCGGCTCATGTTCATGCTATGGTCATTATTACTCCTAGGCCCCTGTCAGTAAGTTTGGCATCATTGAGCCTGTAAGTGTGATGGGGACTGTTCGTCCCCAGATGGAGCACTTTACATTTCTCAATGTTGAACTTCATCTGGTTCTGATCCGCCTAACTTGCCAGCCTGTCTAGGTCCACCTGTATCTGTAGCCTATCTTCAAGCGTGACCACAATCCCCCATAACTTGGTGTTTTCTGTGAACTTGGCCGGCAAGCTCTTTACTCCCACATCCAAATCGTCAATAAAGATGTTGAAAAGCACTGGACCAAGCACCGATCTCCATGGGACACCACTAGCCACTTCTTGTTGGGATGACGCAGATCCATTCATTAGGACTCTCTGGGACCTACCCCGCATCCAGCTGCCTACCCACCTGACTGTCGAGCAGTTAAACCCGCAATCCTCCAGTGTTCCCATGAGAACATTATGGGATACCAGATCAAAGGCTTTTTGGAGGTCTAGGTATACCATGTCAACCTCCTCTCTCTTACCCAGATGGGAGTTACCTGGTCACAGAAGGAGATGAGATTGGTAAGACAAGACCTGCTTGCGGTGAAGTCATGCTGGCTGTTGTTCAGGATCCTACCTTCTGCAAGAGTATTGCACATAGACTCCTTAATGAATTTTCCCAGGATTTTCCCTGGAATAGAAGTTAGGCTGATTGGCCTATAGCTGCCCGGGTCCTCTCTCCTCCCCTTCTTGAAGATGCGCACAACATTGGCCCTCTTCCAGTCTTCAGGGACCTCCCCCAAGTGCCACCCAGATGGGTGGGCAGTGCTTTAAAAGGCACATTGCAAATACAGAATATGGCCCTCAAAAGAAAAGGAAGTGTCACCAGGAGGTAAAGCCTTCTTAATACCACAGAGCCTGACTTTCAGAAGAGCCGAGTTCCTGCAACTCCAGCAGAAGTCGGGGAAGCTCTGGGTTCCCAGGGACTTGGAAACTGAGGCTTGTGAATTCTGTTTTCCCAATGTCATTAGTAATATAAAAAGAAAGTCAGTGAAACAGTGTGCCCTGGACAAATAAGTTGGGAAAGTCAAATTTCTGCTCTGCAACTGGTTCACTTGCCTCAGTGACCTCAAGCCCTATCACTTGAGACAGAAGCTAAGACTTTCCTGAAATTTAGGGTCAACCCCCAGAGGCTTTCAACCAGGCTGAGCAATATGAACTGCACCCCCCACCCCCTATCTGTCTGGCCTTTAGGCCTCCAGCACAGCTGGATGGCAGCTGGATTGAGATGCAATTCTCCACCCCTCACTCTGGATTGGGATGGCACTATACTTCCTGTTGTATGAGAAAGCCCATCTAGGAATCAGACTACCCACGACTTGTCTCTCCTTCTGTATTTGGCTCTAATTATGGGCAGTAGAAATATGAAGTTCAGTATAGGAAGTCTGGAAGTCAGGAACATAGAGCTATGGGACTGCCCGTGGTGGACTTCTGGAGTCTTGTGGTCTGCAGACAAGTCCCAAACACTGAAGGGACAGGCTGCTGAGGAGGGAAGCAGAGGTTGAATAGGGATTGACCCTAGTCCAGACCTTCCAGGCTGGGGTTAGGTGTTTACAGTGTGGATGGTCAGTAGATACAGGCTTGTGGGTGTCCATAAAGTCAACCCTATCAGGGTGGAGGCAGCCAGAGACCCTGCTACCATCCGCACTGCAAGGCCCATGACTCACAGCTGAGCCATGCAGAATCCATTCAGTAGAGGGAAGTGCTTCACATCCAAACTAGATAGTTTGCTGCAATGTAAAATACATATTGGAAGAGACTTGGGATTTCATTTAGATAAAGATGTCATTCTTCTTACAATGAATCTTAATGATTCATGCGTTTTTACAAATCACATTTAAATGCATTTGTTCCTTCATTACCACACATACACCTCTAATACCCCTTGAGGAATGCTTCATTTCTGTAATAACTGGCCTATTACTATTCTTCCACATATTAGTCCATATTTATCACTAAACTGTATCTATCTAGTGCTGCAGCATGTCGCATTACCCAGTGCTATGTAAGAAAAAATCCCGCTTCCAACACCAAGAACTGAGTCGAGACCAAAGGTCACCGCTTAAAAACTTTCAATTTGATCTTGCTGCTGTGTGGGTTTAAAATCTGTAACCATGCCCTGATATACTTCATTGTATTAAGAACACACTTTCAGTGCCTATAACAGCTGCTTCTATGAATTTAGCACCATAAGCAAGTCTCATGGGGTAAGTGCAACACACTTTCCGCAAGGAAAACTCCAGATGATTCTGAGTTTTGCCTGAGCGAGGCTTCCAGGATGCAGACCTGTATACTTAATAGTACACAATGCGCTGCTCTTCCCAGTGTGAGAAGCCTTGGGGAAAGGCGCTGAGAACTGGGAAGCAAAGTGGCCACAATGAGCTCCAAACAAACACTCCAGCCGCCATGGGAATTTGGGGCGAGTTGTGTTAATGGTATCACGCTAACTTCCGCTAAAGGCTCATGTATTATCGTGGTGATGCATATACCCCAGTAGACAATATGCAACTAAATTTTCTTAGCACATTTCTGGCATAATGAAGCCCAACGGGTGTGTGTAAACAAAATGCAACTCACTCCCTGGACCTCATGCATCATTTATGCCTATCCTCTGCATGGCAAAAGAAACATTTACATATGCCAGCATTAATTCCAAACTTCACTTCAAAGCTCTATCTGTCTAATGAACCCAGCTCTGTGCACGGCAAATTCCACCCAAAAAATAATTAGCAAGATACACGGTACCAAAGTGTTAGAAGGCAAATGCAGCATACCACCTGCTGCAGTGAAACGCATGCCTTATTTTCACTTGGTAGCGCAAGCCAGTCTCTGACTCAAGGCTCTGAGACTGAGCGATGAGTAATATAGTCACCAAAACTCATGCAGCTATAATGTACAACGCACCCCAGGAGGTGACACACACTCACTTGGCACAGAAGTCTGGGTCTGTGATTAAATATATATCTATGGAGGTTTAATATAAGAGTCATGATAGGATAGCAAGTGACCAGGGATAGCACCTGGTGATCTCCTGACTGCAATGAGACCTAAGTGGGGTGTGGTTTTTGTTCTCCACCCCAAGCTGTGAGGATCCCTGTTTTGGAGTTTGCTGGACTGCCCTGCAACTTAAGGCCAGGACTGGTGTTTGAGGCTGAAACAAGAGGCTAGGAAGACATAAACCACCTACTGGACCAAATCTCCCCAGCAGCAGCAAACTCCAGATTCACATGCAGCTTGACTCTGACAACCAGCTTCAGTATGATTTATCATGGTGACGACATATAAATTACCTAGGAAGTGACACAGAGATGAACGGCCAGTGGGGGTTGGTAATCCTGGGAGCTCTGAACTCTTCAGGGATATTATGAAGATGATGCATCAAATGTTTGCATGATGCTGGTTTTGCTGTGGGATCTACTATGGTTCAGTGTTGCCTTTTCAGCACACAGCAGTGCAATCCAAAGCAACAAGTAGCCTTGCTGGGATCCAAAGGGTTAAACTACTCTTCCTATGCAAATCAGGCTTAATTAATCCTTTTCATCAGTTGCAAATATACCTTCTGAACCCTATTAAAAACATGAATATGTAAATTCAGACCTTTTTTAATTCTCATTTTCAAGGACTCAGAGTCAGGCTTGATTATTCGATTCCAGTTAACAGCCTGTAAACCTGGTGCAAAATTTAATTTCCATTTTAAGTTACAAAAAATGAATCTGTTGGTAATT